TATTGTTCTCCATAAAGAACATTCTAATTGTTTACGCTGAGAACTTGAGTTACATTTCGAAAACCAAATCTCTAAGTGTACTTTTAAAAGTAATTCTCTTATTGTATTTGTAAAATTAATTTTCTTATTGTGTTTGTAAAAATAATTCTCTTATTGTACTTACCTGGAGTTTACCTGGAGAGGATTTCGGGGGTCAACGCCCCCACGGCCCGGTCTGAGACCAGGTCTAATGGTGGATCAGGGTCTGATCAACCAGGCTGTTACTGCTGGCTGCACGCAAGCTGACGTATGAACCACAGCCCGGTTGGTCAGGTATTGACTTTAGGTGTCTGTCCAGTGCCTTCTTGAAGTCAACCAGGGGTCTATTGGTAATCCCCCTTATGTATGCTGGGAGGCAATTGAACAATCTTGGGCCCCGGGCACTTACTGTGTTGTCTCTCAGTGGCGCCCCTACTTTTCATCGGGGGAATATTGCATCTCCTGCCGAGTCTTTTGCTTTCATAGGGAGTGATTTTCGTGTGCAAGTTTGGTACCAATCCCTTCAGGACCTTCCAAGTGTATATTATCATGTATCTCTCTCGCCTGCGTTCGAGGGAATGCAGATCAAGGACCTTCAACCGTTCCCAGTAGTTTAGGTGCCTTATCGCACTTATGTGTGCCGTGAAAGTTCTTTGTACACTCTCCAGGTCTGCAATGTCGCCAGCCTTGAAGGGGGCCGTTAGTGTACAGCAGTATTCCAGCCTAGAGAACACAAGCGATTTGAAGAGAATCATTATGGGCTTGGCGTCCCTAGTTTTGAAGGTTCTCATTATCCATCCTATCATTTTTCTAGCGGATGAGGTAGATACATTGTTGTGGTCTTTGAAGGTGAGATCCTCTGACATTATTACTCCCAGGTCCTTCACATTACTTTTCCGCTCTATTGTATTGTTAGAATTTGTGGTATACCCGGACACATTTTTAATTTCTTCAAATTTCCCATATCTGAGTAGTTGAAATTTCTCCTCATTGAACTTCATATTATGTTGAGTGGACAATTCGAAAGGAGGTAATTCTCTTATTGTACTTGTAAAAGTAATTCTCATACTGTACTTGTAAAGGTAATTCTCTTATTGTACTTGTAAAAGTAATTCTCATACTGTACTTGTAAAGGTAATTCTCTTATTGTACTTGTAAAAGTAATTCTCATACTGTACTTGTAAAGGTAATTCTCTTATTGTACTTGTAAAAGTAATTCTCTTACTGTATTTGTAAGAGGGTTTATTACTATAGAATACAGTATGCAGTGTGGACAAGTTAATGTATAAGATACGTGTGCAACATCGAAGTATACCTTTGCATGAAATGCGTTTCGCCTGCAAGATTGTCATTATCACTCTATGTATTGATAATCCTGGAGGCAAGATGTTTATAAAGGCACCAAGATGCTGCATGTGTCTTATTCATCTTCGGAGAAGACTTTCTTAAAGTTGTAATGGCATGTTGTGTATGCTAAGCCTTTTTCATCTGACCAAAAGCTCCAGTGGCGGGTCACCATACTACTACTACTACTACTACTACTACTACTACTACTACTACTACTACTACTAATAATAATAATAATAATAATAATAATATTATTATTATTATTATTTCTTTTCTGCAGTATACAGGTAATGCAGTTTACATATAATAAAGAAAGGCACTAGCATGCGGTGCATTTCGGGCAGACTGAGACCCGCGTCAGGAAACAACTTTCTTGTTCCCTGACGAATCTTACCTAACCTAACCTACTCTCTCTCTAGTTTTGTTCAGTTTCTGACTTTCACCCTAATTACTACTCATGTGTGTGGATACAATAGTTATTCGCTTTAAGAGGCACTTTATATGCTGCTTCCTCAGTATCTAACACGTTATGGCAGAATATTAAACGATTTCGAACTGGTTATCTTGAGTACACTTCCTTGTGTTACCATTAATACGTTTTACAGTGTCGTTCTGTGGCATGGTTTAAATTAGCTTGGTTTTTCTATGTTCTTCCTCTTCCGTGATGCTCTTGTATACCTGACTGCTGTTTCATCCTTCTGTCTACTGGACTATTAGCGTTCAGTTTCATCCTCCTTTTCAGGAAGGGGGTCTGGTCTACCAGAGTCCCTGGGTCTTGTCTACCAGATTCTCCCTGGCAGCAGTCTCCTCCTCAGTGAGGATCTTGTCTACCAGACTCTTCCTGTTTTCAGTCCTCTCCTTCTCAGTGAGGGGGGTCATATTTACTAGATTCTCCCTGGCTTCAGTCCTCTTCTAAGTGAGAGTCTTGTCTACCAGACTCTCCCTGACTGCAGTCCTCTCCTTGTCCACAAGCCTTCCTGGCTGCAATCTTCTCCTCCGTGAGGAGTTACCTCACTGAGGATCTCCACAAACTTTCTCCCTGCTGCAGCGTTCAAGGATCAGTTTTGTTTTGCTGTCGTTTTTTACAGCTAAGACTACCCACTTAATAATTCTTAAAAAAAAAATTACAATTATCACCAGTTATTACAGGTGGTTATAGATAACTGTGACTACTACTACCAGTCATCTATTCAGTAAACTAAATTATCTTATAAGACTAGTTTACATAGTAGGATTTTTTTTTGTAAATGCCATTGTAAAAGGCCATAGAAAAATAATTAGCAGGCGAGAAAGGCCTTCATAGTTTTTGCTATTAAATTTTGGTTGCACCTTTTATGAATGCATTTGCAAAAAATGCAGCATTAAGAATTACCTTATAGGAGAGCTGACTATATAATTGGTTCGAAAATGTGACCATTGACCAAGCTGTTGTGGTGCATTTGCTGTTATTTCCTTCCTGCTCGTCAACTTTTTGTCCTAATCTCTTGTGAGGTACAGTGCCAATTGTCTTCTTGCCGTCAAGAATGTTCGGTCCACTTATCTCTCTCTCTCTCTCTCTCTCTCTCTCTCTCTCTCTCTCTCTCTCTCCCTCCTTCTCTCTCTCTCTCTCTCCTTCTCTCTCTCTCCTTCTCTCTCTCTCTCTCTCTCTCTCTCTTTTCTCTCTCTCTCTCTCTCTCTCTCTCTCTCTCTCTCTCCTATCTATCTTTCTCTCTCTCTCTCGTTGTGTCCTAGAAATGACTCACGAAATCGTATTGACACACTTGCCATGAGTTCAATCTCCACCCGTGGATGGCTTCCTAAATATGCTAACACAGAGTTTTCCATTACCACCTCCTTTATCTTATCCTTGCCATCGTTTCAAAGCTTCACTGGTTTTTACTTAACAGTGTAACTCCTCCCTTCCCTGTTTTCTTTCCTCAACACTTGATATCTTGCATGGAATATAGCACATGTTATCATTTCAGATAGTTTTTACCTCTCTAATAGCGACAATATCCAAATTTGTCTAGGTTATCCGTCCTTTCAGTTCTCCATTCCATACTCTGAATTCCTTATTATTTCCTATGCTTAGCTTTATGTTTCCAGGTTTTCTGTTTGCTGTTCATTTGTACAGAAAGGAGAGGTGAGGTTGGGATTGATAATTATAAATACCGTTGATGTTACGACTATATCTCCTCTAAACTTTCATTACTCTAGCGTTGGCATATATATATAATATATATATATATATATATATTATATATATATTATTATATATATATATATATATATATATATATATAATATTACATACATATATGTATGTCGTGCCGAATAGGGCAGAACTTGCGATCTTGGCTTAAATAGCAACGCTCATCTTGCCATATAGGTCAAGTGAAAATTTGTGTATGCAATAATTTCACTAAAATCATTCTGAATGTAACGAAAAAAATATATTTCACTGTGTTTGTTTAGTATTAAATTATTGTAAACAAATCTAAATTATATTTAGTTGGGTTAGGCTAAAATAAATTGCTTTGGTTATAATAAGGTTAGGTAAGTTTTCTAAGATTCTTTTAGTGCAAAATTAATTTTTTTTACATTAACATTAATGAAAAAACTATATCTTTAAACGTATAAGAGAAAATTTTCGAAAGGACTTAATTTTAAATGAGTTCTTGCTAATTGACCAGTTTTACATATTCGACACGACATATATATATATTATATATATATATATATTATATATATATATAATATATATATATATATATATATATATATATACCAACCCCTGACCTGGTATATCCTAATTCATCTGACCTCTGCGCATTTTAAATCCGGTTTTTTCTTAGCTCTGTTGGACTGAGAGCGCCATTAGTCAGGTCGGGTGAGGTCAGGTCAGGATCCTGGAGGTCAGGTGACGATGATGTGTAGTGTGTGTTTTGTTTATTCGTGTACGGTTGTGTGTTTTTATTTTTTAATCATCCGCTGTATGCTTGTTTACTGACAACGTTTCGCTCACACAGTGGGCTATATCAAGTCACAAATATAGATATACTTGTGACTTGATAAATCTCACTCTGTGGGCGAAATGTTGTCTGTAAAGGATACTGCATTGACGTCCAATTTTCAGTAAATGTAATTTTATTACCAGTTACGTTGACGTGTGTTTTTGGTACATCCTGGGCGAAGATTTCCGTATTTTGTTGATTAATGAGAAACAGGTGAGTGTAGGGTGACTAATGGCGACGTATTTACATGCAATAATGAACTACGCTTCCCTGAAATGTAGACATGACTTGAGTTTGAAGAAATATAATTCATGGCATGTGGGAAAATCTTGAAATTTTTGAAGTTGGTGTGTTATAAAGAGATCTTTTATTTTCACGATGATTAGGTCCCCCCCCCCCCGAAGTGAGCGAAACGTCGTTCTGATTAAAAGGTTCCTTATTACACGTCTTCGTACCATCTTTCGTCGGGTTAAAGCCACATATCCTGTTCAGGGTGATGCAAGTTCTGGTGGTGGTGGATTAGTGGTAGTGGTGGTGCTTTGGTAATGGTGGTGGCATCAGGAATATCACCACCACCACTACCACCACCACCACCACCATCACCACCATCACTACGACCACCTTCAACACGGGGTCACCAGTCAGTCAGTCTAGTGGTGAGTGCCGCGCGTGTAACACGGTGTACACCTACCCTCTCTCACACACGCACACATACCTCTTATCACTTCTATTAGTAAGACTCTTGGCTCATCCTGTCATCATCTACAGCAACATGAACTGCGGCTCTCCTGTAGCTGTGGGTCAAGCATAGAACAATAACAAAAGAATAACAATATGTAAACTATTGTTAGCGAGAAACAGAGTGCCAAGGTTCCTGTCACTCCGCCGTCACCAGTGTCAGTGTGGTGACTGAGAGTAACAATCCTACCTGTTGGTATGAAGGATATAAGAAGGAATTCTTTATTTTACAGTAGATGACATTTCGCACAATCTACAATACTTTACAATTATGTAGAATTGAAACTCTTGAGCGAAACATCTGAAATAAACGTTTGCTGAGATACGTAAGCCTTACACAGCATCGTGCGTGTACCACCGCGCTCTCCTCACCTTTACTTACCAACGTAAGGATAACTAAAGTACGGCAGTAAAAACAGATTTATATTAGATGTGGTCAAGGATGTTAATTAAATTCCCCTCAAGAAGCCTGGACAAAGACCGGGCAGCGGGGGCGTTGACCCCCGACACCCTCTCCAGGTATACTCCAGGTATACTCATGAGAACTCTCCTGACTGTCTTCCGTTACTTCCAGGCGCTACGTACTACCCGCATGGAATTAATTTTGGCCCTGTGAACATCAGTATTAATTAAATCGATGACCTATAAAACCACACCCAACACGAGTGTAACGACTGTGAGAAATTTTATTGTGTATTGTGTAAATGGTGTTCTAACTTAAGCGAGCACATGTGTAGCTACAACAGGTGCAAGGTAGAGTGTAGAGTACAGGTGTTGAGTGTACACGTGTTGACAAATGTGCCCCCAAAGTTTCCTCGGGGTTGTGATGCTTTGTAGGTATTCCTGTTTTCCCATTTATGATTACCACAGTCGACACGTCGCTTCCCTTATATGTATATAGTATTTACTGGAGTTTATGTCAAAGCTGGTTAAATATGCGTTAGTTGATATTAACCTGACGTAACCTAAATAATGAATGTAGACAGACTGGCCCAGGTAGGATGACTGCAACAAATGCTGTAACTGGGAGACTGATGTGTTGTTCTTGTGGTGAGTATATGTTCAGTATGTCTTACAGTCATTATTATATAAATTTAGTCTTACAATCATATAAATCTTGTCTTACAGTCATTATATACATCTCGTTCAGTCACATTAACATAGCACTATTTTAGTATACAAAACACGTTATAATAACATATTTCCCTCACTTAAAAGTATTTAAGAATAACATTCCCCTCGTTCTGAAAAACATTTACACTAAAACTAATAAACATTGACATTAACAAACACTAACACTAATAAACGTTGACATTAACAAATACTAACACTAATAAACATTTACACAAACAAACAACCAGGAGCCTACAAGTGGTGGAGACCTTCAGAGTTGTCAACGTGTCTCTACACTACGTACAAATCTGTCCTCAGAGTTAATGTCCACTCAAGGCAGATACCTTGACGTCGAGTTAGGGCTCTTGATTAAAGGGAATGGAGCTACATCTCCCCTCCATTGGATAAGATATCGTAACGGGTGTTCCAGTACGAAATTGGCAAGAAATTACAAAAATCTTACACCAGCTGAAAACACTTCTGGAGCAAAGTCAGTCACTGGCCTCTACTCCAGAACAACAGATATTAGAGCCAGCAAAAAAAAAAAAAAAAAACCTAAATTCCATTAATATAACGACATTTGTCTTTGCAAACATAAAGGGTCTAAAGCCGTCAACAAACAACAAAATTCCTTACATCAAGGGACTGCTCACGGAGTCACATGCAGTGTTTGCAGCATTCACAGAGACCCTCATTTTGACAACGAAATATGGATCACAGGTTATAACCTAGTGAGATGCGACAGACTAAACAGGAAACAAGGAGGGGGGAGGGTTGGCCTGTACGTCACAGAGTCGCTCATTTGCTCAGAACTACTAAACACCTCAAATGATGTAGTTGAAGTTTTGGAGGTAAAGACTGAAAACCAAAACACTTGTCATTGTGGTTGTATACAAGCCTCCAGATGCAACTTCCCAGCAATTCCAGGAACAACTTTTGAAAATGACTACTGTCTGGAAACTGTCCCAACTCCTGCCCCAAGCATCTTGCTACTGGGAGATTTCAACTTGAGACAACTAAAATGGAGGAGTGTAGCAAATAATATTTTAGCAGAGATCACCCCAGGAGGCAGCTCAGATGAAAATCACTAACACGAGCTATTAAATTTCTGCATCAAACTGACCTTAAACCAGCAAATATTAGAGCCTACGAGACTAGAAAATACACTGGACCTCATCTTCACTAACAACGACGCTCTGATACCGTATCAGATCACAACATAATAGATGTACAGGACTTAAGAAATCGTAATGACACGATTGCAAATAAACCATACCCCGGGCGGGATTGAACCCGCGGTCATAGAGTCTCAAAACTCCAGCCCGTCGCGTTAGCCACTAGACCAGCTAGCCACAATAAGATTCATCCAACTAGGTATATTTCTACACCATAGGAAAGTTAGCGACGGGCTGGAGTTTTGAGACTCTATGACCGCGGGTTCAATCCCGGCCGGGGGTATGGTTTAATAGATGTACAGATTTGTATGCACGGGGCTCCTGACCAGCAAAACGTGATCAGTCACGAGGGTGTCTTCACAAAATTCAACTTCAGTAACAAAAAAACATACAGTGGGAATAAGTCAACCATGTCCTAAATGTAACAAGCTAATACAGGGAATTCTTCACTTGCCTAACCTTTAGGCATGACCTATTTCCACATTTGTCAAGTGTGATACTAACTACGGCTACTGTACCTCACCTACCTACAGTATATAAGCCACTTCTTTGCACTTATGCTGTATTCTTTTCAAGATTGATGGACTGATTACATCGACTCAAGGATGAGGGACTGATTACCTCAAATTCCTTCTGGACTGATGAAGCCACTGCGTGGCAAAACGTTTCCTCATTAAAAATACCCAAGTGATGCACGTGTGTCTAATTTGTTAACTTGTTGGTTCTCTGAACCATTCATTTACATCCCATATAAAAATCTTTGAAAAGGTTCTAAGAAGCAAAATCGCCAACCACCTAGATACTAAAAGGACACAAGTGCAACTAATGTGACATTTTATTGTGGCAACGTTTCGCTCTCCAGGAGCTTTATCAAGCCATTACAAACAATACATGGACACAGAGGGTATATAAAGGCTCAGAGTGAGGTGCAGTACTAGTGAGGTACCATTTAGATGTTCACTAGTGGTAGTAGTAGTAGTAGTAGTAGTAGTAGTAGTAGTAGTAGTAGTAGTAGTAGTAGTAGTAGTAGTAGTAGTAGTGACAAAAGTAGTAGTAGTAATACAATATGGTAGAGCAATTAATTCGTACATGAGTAAAAGGATATAAAAGCTATTACTTGGGTAACATGAAAATAGGTTGGACAAATATAGACTGGAAAGAGGCAGCTTGTTTCAGTGTTCACTTTCTGTAATGTGCTTTGTGTAGTATAACAGGAGAGACTATGTGATGGCAGGGTTTACTGTTTTCAGGAGGATTCTTGCTAAGACTTCAGAGATGGTGAAGCTGCCGTTGTTTTGTTTAATTGTATTCGAAACAGCGATCAGTGCTGATTCGAGGCACTGATCGCTGTTTCGAATACATGGACACAGAGGGTCCACCTCACTCTGAGCCTTTATATACCCTCTGTGTCCATGTATTGTTTGTAATGGCTTGATAAAGCTCCTGGAGAGCGAAACGTTGCCACAATAAAATGTCACATTAGTTGCACTTGTGTCCTTTTACTTTACATATTGTCGGTAATTCTACCAACTTTATTACACCTAGATACTCATCAGTTACACAACCCAGGGCAACACGGATTTAGAGTAGGTCGCTCCTGCCTGTCCCAGCTACTGGACCACTATGACAAGGTCCTGGATGCGATAGAGGATAAACAGAATGCAGATGTAGTATACACAGACTTTGCAAAAGCCTTCGACAAGTGTGACCATTGGTGTAATAGCGCACAAAATACTTGATAAAGGAACAAGAAAAGTTGGTAGATGGATCTGTAACTTCCTGACAAATAGAACACAAAGAGTAATATTAAACAGAGTAAAGTCTGAGGCAGCTACAGTAAAAATCTCTGTTCCACAAGGCACAGTACTCGCTCCCATTCTATTCCTCATCCTCATATCTGACATAGACAGAGATGTAAGCCATAGCTCCGTGTCTTCCTTTGTGGATGACACCCGGACTGCCATGACAGTGTCCTCCATCGAAGACACTGCGAGACTCCAAGCGGACATCAACCAAATCTTCAAATGGGTCACTCAAAACAATATGAAGTTCAACGAGGAGAAATATGGGAAACTTGAGGAAATTAAAACTGCATCATGGTATACAACAAAGTCTAACCATACAATAGAGCGAGAAAGTAATGTGAAGAACCTGGGAGTGATAATGTCAGAGGATCTCGCCTTCAAAGACCACAACAATGTATCTAGCGCATCTGCTAGAAAAATGATAGGATGGATAATGAGAACCTTCGAAACTAGGGACGCCACGCCCATGATGATTCTCTTCAAATCGCTTGTTCTCTAACTAACTGCCACCTTCAAGGCTGGCGAAATTGCTGACCTGGAGAGTGTACAAAGCACTTTCACGGCACACATAAGTACGATAAGGCACCTAAATTACTGGGAACGGTTGAAGGTCCTTGATTTGTATTCCCTGGAACGCAGGCGGGAGAGATACATGATAATATACACTTGGAAAATCCTAGAAGGATTAGTACCAAACTTGCACACGAAAATCACTCCCTAATTAAGCAAAACACTCGGCAGGAGATGCAACATTCCCCAGTGAAAAGCGGGGGAGCCACGAATACACTGAGAGACAACACAATAAGTGTCCAGCGCCCAAGACTGTGTAACTGCCTCCAGCATACATAAGGGGGATTACCAATAGACCCCTGGCTGTCTTCAAGAATGCACTGGACAGGCACCTAAAGTCAGTACCTGACCAACCGGGCTGTGATTCGTACGTCAGTTTGCGTGCGGCCAGCAGTAATAGCCTAGTTGATCAGACCTTGATCCACCACGAGGCCTGGTCTCAGACCGAGACGCGGAGGCGTCGACCCCCCGAAACCCTCTCCAGGTACAGTCCAGGTACGTCATGAATATGTCGTTGGAGACAACTTTCTGGTGTTGAGGTGCTTGAGAAAGCTTGGTGGGGCTGACCTGTGTCTTGTGTCCGGGCACCTGTTTCTTCGCTTCAAACTGCTCCCTGCTTTATGTGCAGACAGGGTAGGCGAGAGCGTGGGCAGGCCACGGGCAAGGAGGTGGGCAAGGCGTAGGCAGGGTGGAGACAGGGGCTGGGCAGGCCCTATACATCTCCCTGCAGCCTGTATCTAACGTGAGAACATTAAGAAAGGAAGAGGTGCTGCAGGCCTGCTGGCCCATGCTAGGCAGGTTCAACTCAGCCACTCAGAATTATGATAATCATATACATTACCGGTGAGAAGATAAGCAAGACACATATGTAATAGGTAAAGACTCCCACCTGTTGCACATGTGACTTACACACCTGCACGTGTACTTGTCTAACCTATTTATAAAGCTTCAGTGGCGCCACCTGGCAGTTTGTTTCACTCATTTACAACTCTGTCGCCAAGCCAATAATTTTCTACATCCTCTCTAAATCTAAATTAACCATACCACGGGCGGGGATAGAACCCGCGGTCAGAGAGTCTCAAAACTCCAGACCGTCGTGGGTTCTATCCCCGCCCGTGGTATGGTCTGTTTGCAATCGTGTCATTACGATTTCGTGAGTCAAGTTAAATCTAAATTGTTCAACTTGAATTCGTTTCTGTAGGAAAAGCTTTAGATGACGTTTCGACCACTCCTTGTTCGTTATCAAGACGGGACCGACACGTCGTATAATTAATTATCTAAGTGAATTGTTTGAGACAATAATTTGATTATAAAAAAAAACGAAAATAATTTTTTAAAAATTTATTATAACGATACACAGGTCGGCAGACAATATTTCTGATATTTCTGAACGCTGATTCCCATCATTCATCATGAATTACTCATCACAAAACCTGAGTTATTTGCATAATTTTTCTTACATCTTCACAAACGTCATTTAGGTTAGATTATAATTATGTGATTGCATTTTTGGAGAGTAAATACGACCACTGGAAGTCAGTGTGATGACAAATCCACTTTTGAACCTTTGTGCAACACCTAGGTGACTTTACTGATGAATAAGACACATGTGCAACACCTGTGTATCTCTAGTGGTGAAACTATTCTCCTGCGCAGCAGGCTTCTTCAGTCGCATATACAGGAGGATTAACACTGGAGAATGTAGAGGATCTGGAGAAGTAATTTTGTGGTGTTCAGTCTCTCAGTCTTGAGAGGTGTTCAGTCCCTAAGAATGGAGAGTTATTCAGTTATTTAGCCTTGGATGAAGGTAGCCAGTCACTCAGGAACAACCTTCCACACGTGCGAAACGTTGCAACGTAAAGTACTGTACATGCGTCTCGTTCACTAGTTTGTAGGTATTTTATATCTTTAATAATATTTGGTATATATGTACGAATCTAAGGAGACTCGAGGGATATTTTGCTTACCCGTCATCTCGAATATACCACTGGTCAGCCAGGGGTATGTACCACTGGTCAGCCAGAGGTATATACCACTGGTCAGCCAGAGGTATATACCACTGGTCAGCCAGAGGTATATATCACTGGTCAGCCAGTGGTATATACCACTGGTCAGTCAGGGGTACATACCACTGGTCAGCCAGTGGTATATATCACTGGTCAGCCAGTGGTATATACCACTGGTCAGCCAGGGGTATGTACCACATTCATCATCATCATTTAGTTTTTAACTCACTACAAGTTGCAACTTCAACTTACATATACGAGTTGATACGTAAAAAAATACGAACCTTGCATTATGGGCTAAGATCAATACGTACTTACTGCTACGTATGTGGGATTTTTCACCATATCGTTTGCAAGAAGTAAATGGGTTTTTGATACCGACTCAGTGAGAGAGAGATACAGATGAAGTATAATGCCATGTTTTATTGATACATATGTGTTATAAGTGTGTTACAGGAGGACAGGTAACTTTATAAGTGTGCTAAGGGAGGACAGGTAGCTTTATAAGTGTGATTCAAGAGGACAGGTAGCCTTATAAGTGTGCTACAGGAGGACAGGCAGCTTTATTAGTGTGCTACAGGAGGACAGATAGCTTTATAAGTGTGCTGCAGGAGGACTATGTCGTAAGTGTGCTACAGGAGGACTGTGTCGTAAGTGTGCTACAGGAGGACTGTGTCGTAAGTGTGTAGTGGTGAAGGGATCATCGTATATAAATACTGATATCAATGTGGTTCCCCCTGACAAAAACATATCAAGAACATGGTACTGAAAGCTCAATATTGCACATACCTGTGTATGGAGACAACTCTTGCTCCACCGCCTCTTGCTACACCGAGGCTCTCTGTGTACCTCACACGGGTTAATGTTTGCAGAGTAGGAAATACACAGTGACTCGGCGAGGCTCAACACACATACACCCACCTCAGCTCCTGAAAACAGTCTGAAAGATTGATGCCAAGATGCCGACTCGACTCCCAATGCCTCTTATACAATTTATTGCTTTCACTAAAAGCCTGGCTGGTCAGGGACAGGACTGCGATTAGTAAAAGGAGGATCAAGCCGTAACCGCTTCTTGTCGTAGATTACCAGCTCATATTCAGTGCTCTATTTAATATGAAAGTGTGGTCAACTGGTCATTATATAGTGGAGGCCTGGTCACAGACCTGGCCGCTGGGGCGTTGACCCCCCAAAACCCTCTCCCTCTTTGTAAATGCTCCAAGTTGGACCGAAACGTCGTCGTAAACTCCTCTCCCCTATTTACGGGTTATTTATATACTGTTCCAGTCACGGTATTGTGTGTTTTTATTCTTGCTGTATGAGTAACCATCCTGAGGTGAGGAGGGAACACACACTGGAGGCACTCTTCCTTAAGCTGGTCAAGACTTCACAACTAACTCTATGGAGCTCTCAAGGCAGGTTCCTTGATGCTGGTGAGAGGCTCTTGATCTAGGGAATTTGATCTATGATCCAGTTCCCTGAATTAAGCCTGAATGCCTTCCATTCCCCCCCCCCCTCACAGGCGCTGTATAATCCCTAAGGGATTAGTGCTCCCCATGGTGATAATAATAATAATAATAATAATAATAATAATAATAATAATAATAATAATAATAATAATAAGTTTACTAAGAAATAAAAAAAACACATGAATATTTACAGGTTTTCGACAGTGTAAATGTGGTAATAATTCCACAAAAATAAAAAGACAGTAAAACATGAACAATAAAACCAAATTTATTTATTACTAAACTTCAATCTGTAATAATTACGATAGGCGAATGAATTTTCTGCCAAGTGAAATTTGTCATTATCTGCGTGAGAAATATTGTCTGCTTCTGCGGGTTGGGAGATAAGAGACAGGTGAAGAGTGTGACAGAGAGACAGAAAATGCCAGCGACAACTACACTCAACGGGGAGACAGTGTTGGTAGTCAGTGATACTCAACTGGAAGACTGAACAAAGACATATCTACAGACTCCAGCACGTTTAACTAACACTAAGGAAGGCCATCATTCCTTGCCGTCTCTACCAGTGACAGCAAGTTCCTGTCTGTACACCTCCGACCTCCGCCTCCTCTCAGAGAGCACTTCTTCAGGTGTCCCTGAGCCCAGCGCTGACGCAGGGACACAACAGACGCCACATTACTTGGGTAAGTACTTAATATTACATATATTACAGGTTTCCATTACATAATCATTGTCTTTATTACAGCCTATTGCATTTGTGTGGCTTATACCAATATATTTTGTTGTGGTCTTCGCGTGTATAATTCATTACAATTATAATGAATTATACACTCCAAGAATAATGAATAATGAATCCAAGAATTGTTACCCAGTTCTTGGATTCATTACGTGCCTCTGTAACCTTTTGACTACCACCCATAGGATGGTATATGGAGAGAGAGAGAGAGAGAGAGAGAGAGAGAGAGAGAGAGAGAGAGAGAGAGAGAGAGAGAGAGAGAGAGAGAGAGAGAGAGAGAGAGAGAGAGAAATGAAAGCAATTAGTATCAGCTATTATTAACAAGGTTATAACAATTAATGAGAGATAATTACTGTATGTTGTTCCTCATTTTTAAAAGTTACCAGAAGAATAATGATGTTAATTACATGCTGCTTGTGACAGAAATTTGTTGGGATCAGGTATCCTTTCTTCACACACACACACACACACACACACACACACACACACACACACACACACACACACACACACACACACACACGGGGATGTTAGGAAGTATTTCTTTAACCTTAGAGTTGTCAGGAATTGGAACAATCTAGAGAATGAAATAGTGGAGGCAGGTTCCATACATAGCTTTACGAGGAGGTATGATAAGGCTCTAGAAGCGGGGAGAGAGTGGACATAGCAGCGACCAACGAAGAGGCGAGGCCAGGAGCTATGAATCAACCCCTGCAACCACATACAGGTCAGTACACACACACACATAGTGTTATATTCTTGGGTAAGCCCTAAAACCGCAAGGGGTCACACAGCTCCCCAAGAATGGAAGATAATTTAGAATGATCCACGGAAAGACAAAAGTAGCTTCAATTCCTTGGATCAAGAGACCTTCACTGGGATCAGAGCAGCCCACATCAACCATGGTAGTTTGTAACTGATGTATACTTATTATTATTATTATTATTATTATTATTATTATTATTATTATTATTATTATTATTATTATTATTATTATTATCGTTATTATTATTGTTATTATTATTATGTATTACAATGATAGAAATCTATACAGAAGAGGGAAGAGGTAGAGATTTTTCTCTGTATGAGGGAAATAAGCAGCAACAGCAGGAACAGCAGCAGCACCAGCAGCAATAACAGCAACAATAGCAGCATCAGCTGCAGCAACAGCAGCACCAGCTTCAGCACCCTCAGCAACAGCAGCACCAGTAGCAACAACAGCAGCAACAGCAGCAGCAGCAGCTGCAGAAACAGCAGCACAAGCAACAGCAGAAACAGCAGCACCAGCAACAGCAGAAATAGCAGCACCAGCAATAGCAGAAACAGCAGCACAAGCAACAGCAGAAACAGCAGCACCAGCAACAGCATCACCCAGCTAATACTTGTCACCGTCGGGGAAGTAACATTAAAAGAAGAAACAAACTTATGACTCGAGCCACTGACCGAGTGAGGTCAACAACCTGACCACAACAACAACACCTCCAGCAAAAAAAAATGAGATGTACCTATTTATAATAATAACATAATAATAATAATAATAATAATAATAATAATAATAATAATAATAATAATGTTAATAATGATAATAATAATTTGGGATTATGTTCCCCTCAAGGGAGATTCCTTGATGCTGGTGAGGGCTCTTGATCCAGGGAATTGGATGTGTGCTCCAGTTCCCTGAAATGAGCCTGAATGCGCCCCATCCCCCCCTCCCTTCCTCAAAGGCACTATATAGCCCTTACGGGTTTAGCACTCCCCACAGTAATAATAATAATAATAATAATAATAATAATAATAATAATAATAATAATAATAATAATTTTGGATTCTGTTATTCATGAGCATCATTTCTATCAACAAATTCACAAGGGTTCGACCCCGAGGTCATTATTGCAAAAACAACCACCAAGAAATACTGAATTTGATATTCAAAACATACACCTCTCGGTGTATATTCGTCTGTATATATACGGTGAAAGTTTGACTTAATATTTATTTTAGAGATCAAAATATCCTTGGCGGAGCAAAGGAAATACGCGGCCTTAAGAGGCACGTAGGTTCTTCCCGTCTTCTAATATCATGTTCATTTTTCCCACTATAATCTACCTATGTCTATAATTACTATCATATTTGTTTTGTCTGTTTCGTAAGGTGGAGTCTGGGATCTTTCCTTAATTCATGGTATAACTTAACAAATCTTTTAGGACAACTGACAATAAATGCATTTTTTTCTGCAAACGTGTTTTATTTTCTCTATTTTATTCATGGGTTTGATCTGAGGAAGTACTGAGAGGCTCCACTTCCTTGGACCGTGAGTCCTTGGCATGAAAGGACTCTATTGAAGGGAGCACTTTCACAAAAGTGGAAGGAAGCAGGAAGTGGTAGCTACCCAGAGGTGTGACACCAGCTGCTGAACCACGGCCCTCAGACCTGTCTTCTCCCGCACCATCTTCCTCATGAATTATAATATATATATATATATATATATATATATAATATATATATATATATATATATATATATATATATATATATATATATATAAATATATATATATATATATATATATATATATATATAAATATATATATATATATATATTTGTATATATATATATATATATATATATAATATATATATATATATATATATATATATATATATATATATATATATATATATATATATATATAATATATATATATATATAATACTATATATATAACTATAATATACTATATATATATATTATACTAGGAAGGGTTGGAGGGAGGGGGTAAAGGAGGTTTTGTGTGCGAGGGGCTTGGACTTCCAGCAGGCATGCGTGAGCGTGTTTGATAGGAGTGAATGGAGACAAATGGTTTTTAATACTTGACGTGCTGTTGGAGTGTGAGCAAAGTAACATTTATGAAGGGATTCAGGGAAACCGGCAGGCCGGACTTGAGTCCTGGAGATGGGAAGTACAGTGCCTGCACTCTGAAGGAGGGGTGTTAATGTTGCAGTTTAAAAACTGTAGTGTAAAGCACCCTTCTGGCAAGACAGTGATGGAGTGAATGATGGTGAAAGTTTTTCTTTTTCGGGCCACCCTGCCTTGGTGGGAATCGGCCAGTGTGATAATAAAAATAATAAATAAAAAATATATATATATATATATTTATATATATATTATATATATAAATATATATATATTTGTATATATATATATATATATATATATATATAATATATATATAATATATATATATATATTATATATATTTATATATATATATTTATATATATATGTGTGTGTGTGTGTACTCACCTACTTGTACTCACCTCACCTAATTGTGGTTGCAAAGGTCGAGACTCAGCTCTTGGCCCCGCCAATTCACTGTGTGTGCGTGTGTGTGTGTGTGTGTGTGTGTGTGTGTGTGTGTGTGTGTGTGTGTGTGTGTGTGTGTGTGTGTGTGTGTGTGTGTGTGTGTGTGTATGTGTACTAGTGTCTTTTTCTTTCTCATAAACACGCAAGATGACAGTTACATATTTTTATTTCTGTTTACACTTATCTCACAGCACACACGCAGTTATAAAATGTATTTGTACGCACACCCATATTTCTTTTTAAATATCAACAATGGTTCACCACTGACTGATGTCCAGTTGTGTGGTGACTGTGTTGTCTCTCGTGACTCGTTCCCTCAAGGAAGGTTCCTTGATGGAAATAAATGGTATAAAATACCGACACAATGGAAATATAAACACAAATGCAGTATAATGTGATCCTTTATTGACAACGTTTCACCCACACAGTGGGCTTTTTCAAGTCACACACAACTTGTCCAATACCCCTGCCAAGCTACCCAAGACTCTATCACCCCACCCGGTAGATCATCAGCTGCAGCATTCTCCACCTGACCTCAACATGACTATAAATACTCTCGTACCTTCCAACCCCAGGTAGATCCGTGTGTGACTTGAAAAAGCCCACTGTGTGGGTGAAACGTTGTCAATAAAGGATCACATTATACTGCATTTGTGTTTATATTTCCAAGGTTCCTTGATGTTGGTGAGGGGCTCTTGATTTAGGGAATTGGATCTGTGCTCCAGTTCCCCGAATTAAGCCTGAATGCCTTCCACATAACCCCCCCAGGCGCTGTATAATCCTCCGGGTTTAGCGCTTCCCCCTTGATTATAATAATAATAATCTCGTGACTCGTAGGTTGTGTTCAAATGTCTCACTTAGGGCTCCGTTTCCTTTCCAAACTCAAGGTGAGAGTTCCTGAGTTTCCATTGTTTCTCCTTTATTTAATTACTTTGGTAAACATTCGCTAAATTGTGCATAAAAGCCCTTTCTTTTTCTCTCCCCCACGTCTTTGCTATATCACCATACATTTCTGTTTCCTTCATTTCTCATCACGGTTAATTGTCTTTTCTGTAGCTCGGTTGGTAGCGCACTTAGCTCACACGTTGAGGTCCGTGGTTCGATCCCCAGTACGGGTGGAAACATCTGGTCGTGTTTCCTTAAGATATCTGCTGTCCCTGTTCACCCAGCAGCAAATAGGCACCCGGGTGTTAATCGACTGGTGTGGGTCGCATCCTGGGGACAGCACACCCCTAATTAGCTCGAAATGCTCTGCATAACAAGGGGCTTTCTATATAGTAGTAAGTCATTGATTTCAGCTATGGTCTGTATAAGTTGTATCATATACTCTTAGAAATAAAGATTATTATTATTATTATTATTATTATTATTATTATTATTATTATTATTATTCATCTTTTGACTTAGTGTGATCTCTTACCTGTGAGCAGAAACCATAGTTCGTCAACCTTCAAAACTCAGCCTGAAGCCAGACTTACTTTGCTGTTGCTCTCCGCTTCCAGGTGGTCTACATCCCTCACACTGCCTGATGGGGTGGCACTTTCTGCACCTACTGATCTGCTTTCCTCCTGACTTTTTGCTTT